CGAACTTTATCGTTTTCTTCTCTGCCCTTTTGGTCTGTTATCCATTCTTGTGTTCGATGTGAGGTGACATTCTAACTTTTTCCAGAGACTAAGCCGTGTGCCAATGCATTCTGTAGGGATCTGTCCTGTCTGCTAATTTGAAATGCTACCCTGTCTGTATAGTGTACTAAATTCCCGCAGACACATTCTGTTTCTAGACTTTCATGAGTCCTCTTGACTACTTGTATATTCCTAAAGCCATAAGAAAAGGGATTTCATCTCTTGAAACTTTAGGAGCTTTGTTTTCTATCCCAGACATACCCCAAGAACTTAGCCAGTGTGACACCTGTTTAGTATTCCATGGCCTTCCCTGTCCAGGCTCCCGTAAGAACTCACCTGAGTGCATTAGTGACACTATGACACGGGCTCCAAGAAAAGCTGGCTGGATCATTTCAGCTGTCACAGTAGACCTCCCTCTGTCAGAGGTAGGAGGGCCTGATAGCCTCTCCACTGGACAGTGGGCCCACCAGTACCCAAGTGTCCACTCAAAAGAATGTCCTGGGGCTTTCTCAGAACACTTAAACTTCTGTTGGGGCCTTTAGTCATCAGCGCCAATATTTTGATTTTTGGAGCTTTAAAAATTTAGGTTTGTTTTCCTGAAATGCCTTGAATGATAATTTTAGAAGAGCTATACCACTATTTTTGACACTAATACTACATATAATTTGTCTTCATCTATTTTTATTGTAAGCTAAACATCATACTTGCTGAGAAATTTTCTCTTAAGGCATACTTCTATTGATAACTTACTATAAATTTAATTAAAAGTCATTTTTATTATAAAAATGGTTATTTGTAAATTGTTTTCCTGTTGACAGCATTTTAGTTTTATCAGCTAACAGAAACTATTATACCTCTTAAACTTTTAATATTTCAGAAAAATATGCCCAAATTCAACAAAATTCCTTTCTACCTCCAACCTCATGCATCTTCAGGAGCAAAAACTTTAAAAAAGTAAGTAACTGTTGTGCTTCCTTACTCTGGTCACTGTGGCTGCTACCCTGTCCTTTAGCTCACTTTATAATATGGGGACAGGTGCTAGGTTGAAGGCTGATTGCTATGAATTTTGTCTCCTGTCAAAATTAAGTTTAACCCATAATTGCTGGCACATGCCTTTTAAATCTTAGCACTTGGAGGCAGAGGCAGAGGGTGAGGCCAGCCTAGGCAATAGAGTGAGTTCCAGGCCAGCCAAGATTTCATAGCAAGACCAAGTAGCCATGTATGATGGCACATACCTGTAATCCCAGTTCCTAGGAGGTAACTAGAGGAGGATCTGGAGTCTCCAAACCAAACAGTTCCATTGAGGACAAAGCCTGTGTGTGGTGGCTGGTTTTACAGACACTTAGGAAAGGATGACGGTGAGAGCTAACCAGCTCTGAACAGAGCCTTCTAGAAGGACAAGGAATCTCACTTCGGCACATTATGGGTGGGTGGAATACCCAAAGACAGACTTCCCAATCAGGAGCTTGCTCAAGATACCAGAAATGGTATGGGGATGCGTGCTCCCACACAGGATGGCAGGAAAAAATACAGCGAGTCAGAGGCTTCATGACTCGGAATTTCAGTGTCAGGTCACAGAGCATCCAGTAACCACTAGAAATTCCTGATAGGCAGAAGTGGCTCAAAGCGAAGCTTACAACAGAGACCTTGAAGTATGAACCATAATCAGTATTTATGGCTAGCGAGTGAAGTCAACAAGGCTGTTGAAACTGTCACAGGGATTCCCAAGCTCACACACAGGACAAGTTCCTGCTGGCCCAGCAAACACTTGAGGAGTGACCTTTGTGAGACTGAAATGTAGTGTTCCACCTGCACCTCTGCCTGCCCCACCATCTCCTCCATGTGCACACATTGCACTATAGCAAGCATAGACACCACTTTAAGTGGATTTAATGACTCCACTTCAAGAGCCTTGAACAGTTTAAACTGTAGCTGTGAGATATGGTGATAGTTTACTGATACCAGAGAGAAGGACGTGGAAGTGAGGGACTTCAGTTGTGTAATGCTGGGTTTGTGGTCTGGAGCAAGCTGTGGCTTCATGACTAGCCTGGGGTGTTCATTGTCTCCTTCTAGTTGAAGCTACAGCGGTAGGAGATAACACTGGGCCCTTGGTACTTCATTGGTGGGTCGGCCTAGGCTTGAGGCGTGGACTTGGAGGCATACAAGACGAGTGGCTGTTGTGTGCATGAGCCCTTGAAGGCAGCACAGGAACTCCCCTGACAGCTCTCAAGTGAATGAAGCAGTGACTGAAAATATGTATTGATTTCAGGTGTCTGTGCAACATTTATCTTGAGATGTTGACACAAATGAAGAATAATGAGAGATTTTGTTCATGTCTTTTCTAGAGACAGGCTGTCTGCCAGTGACATGCTGCAGGTCCGGAAGGTGATGGAGCATGTCTACGAGAAGATTATCAACCTGGACAACGAGTCCCAAACCACCAGCTCGTCTAATAACGAAAAACCGGAGCAGGAGAAGGAGGAGGACATCGCTGTGTTGGCAGAGGAGAAAATTGAACTTCTGTGCCAGGACCAGGTGAGTGGACTGAAGAGCATAGCTTCAGCTCCCAGCAGAGGTGCCCATAGTCACATGCTTACTCAAGCTGGCGGCCTCTAAGGTGTCTGCTTTCCGAGGCTCTGAAGAGCTGTGTCTCTTGGAAAGGTTCTTTGGCACACCCAAAGCTCCTCTTCACCTGAGGGAGGCTCAGGAAGAGGACACAGGTTTCCTGGTGCTCACAGTAGGGCTGTGCTGGGTAACAGGCAAGGTCGTCTTGACTTGCAGGGTGGTGTCTGTCATAGGAAATAACTTGAGTGGAGGTGGGTGGGTGGCAAAGAGATGAATTACAACCAAGGCAAGCGCAGGAGAGTGGCCACAGCTGGCAGGGCTGAGCTGGTGCTGCCAGTGAGCAGCAGAGGTACACATTTCGGGATCCATGTGTGGAAGCAAACATCAGGCTTTAGGAACAGTGAGGAGCAAGCTGGGCCACCAGGCAGAGTCCCTGGTTAAGGATGTCTTTAGCTGTTAGTGATGTTGACATTGTCAATGCACTTTGCCTATTCAGGTTTTGGATCCAAATATGGACCTTCGGACAGTAAAGCACTTCATATGGAAGAGTGGTGGGGACCTCACCCTCCATTACCGTCAGAAGTCCACGTGAAGGGTGGGCTAAAGCTCCTGGGTTCTTCACCAACCACCTTCCTCTGTGGCCCCAAGAGTAGTCCTAGGAAGCCCACCACGTCCTACGGAAGCAAGACCTCCAACCGGCCAGTTTGGTGGCGTGACTAATGGAGATGTAATATAGAAACCAAGCTCCATGCATAGACTAAGGTGTCCCCAGGGACTCAAGTACAAGGACAGAAACGCCCCTGGTACTGTCCTGGGAGATGTACAGAGAATCTACAACAGGCCAGTGCAGACTTCGCTGACTCCTTTTGAAGGACCCACCTTTGTCTCCTAGCACTTTTTAGAGAACATCAGCGGGGCCACATCTGTCGCCATGTTTCAGTTTCAAACCCACAGGCTCTGCAACTTTTCCAAGTACATTCCACTCATGCAGTACCTATGAAGGCTTTTTCCAAATTTGTCATTACAAAAAAAAAAAAAAAATCAAGTTGTTTTCACCACATAAGAGTTACTTTTAATGGAAATCACTGCTGCACAATTCAAGAGCCAGCCCAGTTCCTAAGAAATGACCGTGTCGGGCTACTTTTGAAATACTGCATCTCAGCTACGCTCTTGTAGAAAGACCTGCAACTCCAGGGCTGGAGTGCAGCACTTGGACCTGCAGGCAACAGCCTGTATTGCGAAGTGCTGCCCCATAGTGCCCTGGCTGTATGATAGCCCAAGCAGCTGTGGCCTCTCTCCTTCCGCCAGCGCCGTCTTCCTCACAGGCAAAGCCAGCGAGAACCACAGCTTCCTGCTCTGGGTGAGCAGCATGACAGCTGTCAGAACTTAGGACCATGCTAAAGTTTCAGTTTCATTCAGATGCTACCTAAAGTTTATGTTACTAGAGTAAAAAGATCTCACAGTGAGTTGGTTTGATATTTATATTGTGGTCCATGTTTGTTTTTCCAGTTTTCTACACGGGCTTTTGTTACGCCTTCCTCCAGGTCTCTCCGCTGTCTTTCTAACAGTCAAAAGCTTTCATAGACTCACTTGGATCCTGTACAGAATACTAACTTATTGGGGATAAACACTTCAACTTTTGGCAAAAAATACTTTGGATTCTTCCCAAGGTCATTTACATTCAGACAGATGAATGGTCCAGCCTGTGACATTGCAGATGAACCTTTTGAGCACAGCGGAAGCACACGTGCCTTGGTGGGGGGCAGCTTGCTTCATCCAGCTGCTCCTGCCTTGTGTGTGGTCTGTCCCCACAGGAGCAGGGGGAGGGGGCATGGGGAAGAAAGGTTTTTTTCTCTTCTCTACATCTCACAGGTTCTGCTGGGGACAGCCGAGGGGCCCAGATCCATCCTTTAAAACTCAAGGCTCTAATCGTACAACTGCAGAACAGGGTGCCCTCACCCTAACTATGGAACACAGACATGCCATGGCTTCCACAACCTCAAGTGAGCAAGGACATTTCCGGGTGTTAAACCACTCTCCCTCCCCAGAGCAGCCAGCTTCTTTTTTACAGAAGTCCTTTATATCTATGTGTTGGACACAACAGTGCACTTTTGGTGCATATTTTTTAGTCATAGCTGTAAATCAAAAGCAAGGGGTGGGGTGGTAGTGTTTGCAGGAGGGACCTCTGCACTAAGCATAGGTGTTGCTCGTTGGTTCCCTGGCGCAGTACTGACCCACAGGCAGTGTGCCCCTAGGGAGGAGTTTACCCCAGCATGGTTATACTTTTTTCCCTTCTAGTCAAAAATCAGTAATGTTTCCAGAAATTGGACAGTCTGCAATGCCAAAAGGGTCAGTCTGTATTTCAAGTTGTATAGAATAAAGCTTTAGTTACAGTATCTCAGTGTGCTGGATATGTTTATTATCACTTGTCACTTTCCCCCACAGCAGATCACAAGGAATGAAACATCTGGGGATTTATACTTGAAACAGCGTCAGCATCCATCTCACCCCACTTATGGGGGTCCTGGGGAGCAGAATCTTCCAGTGAAGGCAGCTGGGGGTCAGGGTGCCTAACCACAGAGCTAAACTGAATTGGTCCTGGAGGGCCCCACAGGCCTCACTATAAATGTATTCCTAGTTAGTGCTTGGGGTTGTGTTCGCCCGTCCAGGATCTGGCCCACTATACTATTTGGCCTGTGCTTCCTAGAACAGAGAGAGTCCTTGGCTTAACAGCCCAAGTGCCCTGAACGGTCTGTGGATAGTGGGACAAAGGCTGGAAAACAAGACCAAAGGCAGCATACAGTGATTAGCAAGAACACGGGACTGGAGCTGCAGACAACATGCCTGGTGCCATCTGTAGCAAGGCAGCAGCAGCAGCACAGATGTCCTCTCAGAGCCTGAGCCTCTAAAGGCACCTTTCCCTTACCCTGGGGACAGATGGGAGGGGCCTTTACCCACTCTCACTCAGCTCTCCTGGGGAAGCCAGGGCGGGAAGGGTTGGGTGGAGGGGTTTTGACAGTAAGCACAGTTTGACCTGTCTACCGTCAGAGCCAGCTGTACCCTGTGTACTCAGCCTGTTGTCTATGTGTGAGGGCTGAAAGGAGAGATCATAGGATACAAGAACTGGAGTGTGTGCTTCCTTCCACCTCCCCCGGGGCTAGTGTACAGCAGAGGTAGATCCCTCCGAGGACCTAGACTTTCCCATCCTAGAAATAAGGGGCCAAGTATACTGCCTCTCATCCAGTGTAAGGACTGGGATGGGGAAGGGCACTGGGACTTGGGGTCCACCTCAGTACAGGAGTGGCTGCTTGTGAACACAGCCTCTTGTCCCTCCCCCCATCTTCACATGATAACTGGGATGCAGCCTGCTGCCTCTCCCTCCCCAGGAGGCTTCAGTGTTTCACTGACACAGTCTAGATTCCCTCTCCTGCCTCTACAGAAGCTGGATGTTGCATCCGTGTCTGTCCCTTCAATCCAGGACCATGTATGTACTCTAGCAAAGCCCACGCCTCACTAGAGGCTGCAGCCTAGAGAGCTACACAGCTAAGCCACACCACATCACCAGGGGCGTTCTCACAGCCCAGGCTCTGGATCTGAGACACCCTCAGTCCCTGCCCTGCAATCCAGGCTGGTTGTGTCTGCCGGCTCCTCAGTCTGTGCTTCCAGCAGCTCTGCAGACAGCCCTTCTTCAGGTGAGGCTGCAGATGTGAGGCCATCAGGGAGAGTCAGCTGGGGCAGGTGGTCTGCCTGGGCCTGGGCGCCTGGACTGTCTGGGAAGGAGATCTCAAACTCTGACCCTGACCACGTGGCTTCACCTGAAATAGAAGGTGGGGCTGAGGAGACCCACCCTCAGTGAGTACTCCTACAGCCCAGGCTCTGGCGGAGAGTTAAGCGTGTGAATCCCTGGACACAGTCAACCTCTAACCTAGCTGGGGAGCTGGGGGGGGGGGGGGGCAGCCCTCTCCAGATTTCTCACTGAAGGTCACTCACCACCCCGCTCATGAGAACTGCTGCTCGAACCAATGTCCTCTGGTCCTGAGGCTGAAACAGCTGTGGAGGTGAGCACTGTGGAAGATGACAGGCTAGGGCACACACTTGTATTGCTGCTGTCAAGGAGGGACATGCCGGACACATCCAGGAAGCCTGCAGAGGGAAATCAAACCCAGTTCTTTGCTGGTATAAAACCCCAATGACTGGAAACGGGGGAGCCTGTCTTCCCCTCTGCCTTTTTCCTGGAGTACCTAACTTGCCCTCAGCCCCACAGATGCTCTCCCTCTAACCCCATCAAGGCTGCGACCGCCTGTCCCTGAGGGACAGAAAGAGCCCAGAGCTGAACACCATGGCAACGGGCCCAGATCCTGCTTCACCTCTATCTGTGGAGTCACCCAGCGTGGGCCTCCTCTCCTCTGGACTGGACTGACAGAGGCTAGCAGGTCCTGAGGAAAGCTGGGATACTGCTGTGCAAGTCCAGCCGTGAGCCCATAGCCCACTTTAGCATCAGGGTTCTAGGTACTGCAGTCTCTTCCAGGACCTGTCCCGTACCTGGGTCCATGACCCGCTGTACTGGAGGTGGAGGTTGCAGCGGCATCTCCATGGAACGTAGGCATCCCCCACAGTCAGCAGCGCCATGGCTAGGATCCCCAGGCCCAAGGAGCTGTCCTTCCATAAAGCTACCAGGGACCTGTGGCAGGGGCTAGATGTACCAAGAAAGGAGAAACCGAGGGTTAGGCCAGTGCCTAGAAACATCCAGTGCAGAGCCCACTCGATTCAACCTAACCGCAGCCCACTCTTGTATGAAGCATTGCCCTTCCTCCCTGAGAGTGATGGGAGAGCAGCCAGATCCTCCATACAAACACACACTGGGGAAGCTTTCTGATGCTCCCTGAGGGGATTCCTAGGTCCTCACAGATACTACCCCTGTTGTCTGAACTTCCCTTGAATACGGGTGCATATGGGGACCAAGCAGCCATGTCCACCTACCATGTCCACCCACCATGTCCAGCACTGGCCTGGCTGCCCCCACCTCACCGAGGCACAAGGTTCTACCCGTTTCTGGGTCGCAGTTTCCCACTGACAAATGACCACCCGTGCCTCATCTCCACTCAACGGCAATGAACCTCTCTACTTCTACATGCCAGAAGCAGATGGTCCCCCTAAAGTCAAGGACCTCATAGGCCCACAGACAGTATTTCTTAGTCCCTAGATAGCCTCCAGGTGGCAGACCCAATGCCCCAAACACCCCTCTCTTCCCTGGCCTGACAGATGCTCCCACATACCTGCATGTAGTCACTCTGTCTGGAACCCAACTCTGGGCCAGAAGAGTCCTGAGGGATGGACAAAGGTGATGGGGCACCAAGAGGAAAGGCATTAAGTTGTGGGGTCTTAGCTGGAGTGCCAGGTGGTGAGGTACTGGGTGGCTTCTTGTACTGGCTGGAGGGCTGCGTTGGGATCCGGTGCAGGTACCCGTAACCAATACCACACCCTAGACTGTGGAAGGTGAGATGTGTGTTCAATCAGGGTGGTCCACACCTCAGCCCTCCCTACCTAGACCACCCCCACCCACAACCGGCAACAGTGACTAAGCAAGGATTGGGGACAAGGATGAGCCTCAGGGCTCTGGGGTCTAGGCTGTTTCCTACAAGGTATGCCAGAAGCCCATGCCCACTGGGACAGCCCACCCACCTAGCCCTGTAGCCCTTTGATCCCAGGAAGTACCTGCCCTCTCCACCCCAGGCTGCGTTGGGAGTCACAGTCACCTCCCGGCAGGAGTCAGACTCAGAGTTATACACCATCAGTTTCAGGGGCTTCCCCTCATGGGACTCAATGAGAGTAAAGAAGTCTTCCGACTAGGAGAAAGACAGTGTCGGAGGGGTGTTCCCAGCATTGAGACACATGCACAACACATCTGCCCACAGCCCTTCAAGGGGGCCCAGAAACAGGCATGCCATGGGTTCTTTACCTCCTGGAGAATCTGGTCAGAGCCAACTATGTAGTCTGTGTAAGGGCACAGGCCAGCCAAGGCAGCAGGTGAAGAGGGCTCCACGTCCTGAGGTGAGAATGATAAACTAAAACTCTTTGCTAAGCAGAGACAAGAGACAAAGGAGGAGGACACTTATCCTCTTTACAGGGCACCAGTTTCTTCCCTCACCCAAGTTACAGCAGACAGCAGCAACTGCACACAGTCTAGAATCTAACCGTAGGCTGCACTGCCCCAATTGCCATAGGCCTGTAACAGGAAAACATTACTGAATCTCTCTAGACCCCAGCACCCGGGAGCCGGAGGCAAGTGGATCTGAGTTCAAGGCTAGCTGGACCTACGCAGAGAGTTCCAGGTCAGCCAAAGCTACATAGTGAGACCCTGTTTCAAGGAAACCATCTCCCTGCCATTGTCATCTACGTGTGAGCCTGTTATCCTGGGTTTGGATCCCCAGCAGCCATGAAAAAGCCAGGACAGGAGCATTCAGCAAGAGCTGAATTAAGGGACGCTGTCTCAAAGGTACGGTGTAGAGTGAGAGAGGACACTGGGGTTAACACCTGGCAGCCACACTTGCACATACACAAAATTGGGGGGGAGGAGAGTTCATTTGCCTTGCTGCCTGAGCCCAGGTACGCCTCTGACAGACTAAATTGTGACTGGGAAAGCTAAGCAGAAAGCTCCCCCATTTCTCCCCTGAAAAAGCTCTGTTGGAGCACGGGTGTCCTACACATGGCCTAGGGCCACATTACAGTCCAACCCAAAGCCATAAACTACTAAAACCATTATGAGGGGCCTTGGAGGTGGCTCAATCTCTTGGGAGTGTTCACCTCTATCCGAGTTCAAGCTCCAGAACCCAGGTGGTGTGCACTTGTGACTGTCTAGGGAGGGGGGAGACGGCAGCTCCGGGGGACTCACGGCCAGCCATGTAGTCTAATTGCTGAGCTCAGGCCAAAGAGAGACTGTCTCAAAGAAGGTGAACAAGATTCCCAATGATAACACCCAAAGATATCTTGGACACAGGATAAGCATGTGTCCACAGGCACACACAGAATGAACATATGTCCACAGACACACACAGAATGAGCATGTGTCTACAGGCACACATAGAATGAGCATGTGTCCACAGACACACACATACTTTAAAAAAAAAAAAAAAAAAAAGATTGGCTATCAAGATAGCTTAATGCACAAATAATGTCAATCAGACCTGGGTTCAGAACCCATATAGTAGAAGGACTGTTGTCCTCTGACCTCCGCGTGTGCCAGGCACACAATATAAGTGTACTGTTTGTACATAGAAACATAGCACTAATTCTGAGCTGTGCTTTGTAACTAGGCTGTGTGGCCCCTACAGGGCTACATGTCATGAGCTTCGTATGACAACATCATGCTTACTACACCACCACACAAAGTAAACAGAAACACGCTCTTGAAACCCCCCAAGTCGAAAAGCCCTGGAACATGTGACCCCCAAAGAAGCAGCCATCCCAAGCCAGAAGCTGGACGGCCCTGCGGTGACCACATGGCCTTTGAGTGCTCTGGAGTCAGCCTTGTCAGCTCTCTATGCACGGGCACACAGACCCGAAAAGATTCTGCAGAGGCGGCTAGAACCCCAACCAGCAAACCTTCCGGCAGGGGCACCTTCCCTCCACAGAACCAGGAGACTGAGCATCGCAGAACTCCGGCGTGCCACCGTTACACACAGTGTCAGGTGTGTGCGTGTGTGTCTGAGACCTAATGCTAACATCTAGGGCGGCTCAGTCACTGAGATTCTGTCGTGTACCTGTTATACAGCAACGGGCCAGAGAAACTACGATGTCATCTTTATCTGTCCCGCCTGGAACAGCACTAAACACTGCAGCAGGCTTCTGGCACTTCATGCTGGCCCACCCTTCAAATAAGAAACGAAGCCACGGGGCCTGTGGAGGTCAAGCACTGGCTACTCTGGCAGGAGACCCAAGCTCGATCCCAGCACCCACAGGGCAGCTCACAACCACCTGTGACTCCAGTCCCAGGGGACCCAAGGTCCTTGTGTAGCCTGCAGGTGCACTGCACACATGTGGTGCACAGACATACATGCAGATAAAATGCCCATAGACGCGAAGTAATAAAACTTCAAAGAAAGAAACTAAGGTATGGAGGTAAGAATGCCCAAGGGTGCCAGGTGTGCTGGCACACACTTTTAATCCCAGCACTCAGGAGACAGAGGTTAGTGGGTCTCTGCAAGGTTCATGGCCAGTCTGGCTACACGTAGTAATTCCAGGCCAGCCAGGGTTACATAGTGAGACCCTGTCCCAAAACAACAACAACATGAAACAAGTATGCCCAAGGTCACACAGCTAGCAAAAGCACTGAGCCACCGTCCTCTGAGGACACTGGAACAAAACTAGATCCCTCAGCACTCCCCTCTGATCCCTGCCCCACCCATCAGCCCTGGCCATCCTGCTCCTGCATGTACCGGGCCCCGCCCACTGTACACACACACACACACACACACACAGACACACAGCCCCCCCCAACCAGGACTCACCAGCACATGCCACACGTGCTCGCTGGCCCTGCGGAAGCTGCAGAAGCGCACGCTGGCTCCCAGCAGGCCCTGGCCGCCCCACATGTTGCTGGGCACCACCTCCACCTCGCGCACCTTCATGGTCTTCATGTTGAACACCTCCAGTTTCACCGGCTTCTCCACGTTGGCCTTCAGCAGTGCCTTCAGCGTGTCATTCTCCTTGTTCTGAAGGGATAGGGAGGGGCTGGCTCGGTCTGAGACCTCCCACCCCTGGGCCAGAACCCTTGGCCAGGTCAGGGCCTGATATGAGGGCAAGCTGAAACAATCACTGGGCCCAGCTTCACAGGCTAGGTTTGGACCTGCAGCCACCATGGACACCACCCAGCTCCAGGCAGCACCAGCACTAACCAGTTCAGGCACCCCAAACTTTGTTCTCCAAGCCTTCCAGAAAATGAACAAAGCAAGCAAAAGGCCTCTTAGGGCCGTGTCCTAAGGCTTCGTATGCCTTGAAAGGCAGCCTTCTTAGGCCTGGTAGCCGCCTCCAAATGTCCCTCTGTGGCCCTGGTCCACCCAGGAAGAGAAAAGGAGGCAGAAGCAAACAGGGGTGGGGGAGTGGGGAGCCTCACCAGCCTCGAGTGCCCGATGGTGATGATGAAGTCAAAGTAGGGTTCCAGGCCCGCCTGCTGGGCCGGCGAGTTCTCCTGTACCTGTTACAGGGCAGAGGTGAGTCATGGCCCAGACACGACTCACACAGGCTCAAGGAGCCCACCCCCCAACCCTGGACCAGTGGAAAGGACTCACCTCTGCACAGACTGTCCTGTGCACCCACCTCTCCACTCACCTCCTTCCCAGACACAAGTTTCCTCTGAGGAAAGGACTTTTCCAGACTGTGATACACAAATGCTTCCAGAAAGGACTCAAATAGCCCTGGGAGGAAGGGGCACCTGGAGAATACTACCCTCCTCCCCCACCCCAAAACTGGACTAGAGCTGGCTAGGAGGCTGGAGGGACTGGACAGGAAAGCCCAGACATGCAAGGAGAAATGCAGCCAGGCCTTGCTATCAGGAAGGGCTGGACAAGGCAGCCTGTGGCCAGATCCTAAAGAGCCTAGGCCCTGAGTGGCAGCCTAGTTCCAGTCAAGCAGGCAGGGACAGCCTGACAGTGAAGGAGAGCAGATCCCAGGGTCAGGACTGGCCTCCACATGTGCTCAGCGGCACTCAGCCACAGTTCTGCCCTGGGTGCTCCCCAGGCCTCTGGGTGCTCTCTGCCCCTCTCAATTACTAACTTACTGCTGTCTCCAAACTACAGTCAGCTCCCCCATCACAAGCTGTACCAGGAACACATCTCCAAGCCCCGCCTCCAGTGCCTTGCTCAAACAAGGCAACCTTTTCCCCCAAGTCCTGAACGCCAGAGATGCACCCAGGCCTTTGGCTCAAGACTTTTGCTATGAATAATTGATAACTTCTTGGGCCAGGCATCCACGAGGCCCCCAAGCGAACAGTCCAGGTGACAGGACACAGGACACAGGTGACCTCAGATCCTTAATACCTACACTAGATTCCCCAAGCTGAAGAGAACCCTGAAGAGAACCAGGTGTTGCAGGTGCCTCTAGTTCAAGGCCAGTTTACCCTGGCATAAAAAGTTCCCGGACAGCAGCAGTGACTGAGTCCCTGAGTGGCACCTGCTGGAGCTGCCACAGCCTTCAGAGGGAGGAACACACTGTGAACCCTGAGATTGTGCTATTTACTGGAAAACCTGCTTTTAGTTGTGGTGCGGCTCAGCCTTAGCACACACCTTCAATCCAAGCACACTCTGATTGAATACAGGAAACAGGATTAAACGCAGTCAACCATAGATCAAGAGGTGGAACAAGCAACCAGTTGACAGGAAGCGAGCAGAGTATTATTAAGAAAAAAACCATAGAGAGTAGGATGGAGTCAGGAGGATGGATAGAGAGCCACACAGGAAGTAGAAGGGAGGGACATTCACTTTGAAAGAGGATTTTTGAGACTAAGAGAGAGAAGGCATTGCCGCTGGGACCTAGGCTGAGGAGAAGGTCAGCTGGGCGCTTTCTCTGCCTCTCTGAGCTAGCAGGCTTTCACCCCAACATCTGGCTCCCAAGTTTTCACTGGTAAAATTGAACAATTGAGATTTTGTTAAGAAAAAAAAACACACACACACACAAAATTTTCCAGTGGTATTAGGCAACCCCTGTGAAAGGGTCATTCAAACCCAAGTTCCACTGACCCACACACACATGCCATTCACACATGCATAAAGTGTGTGTGTGTGTGTGTGTGTGTATGTATCATGTTACCTCTCCACTTATAATCTCCCGACAGAGGCTGTACTTCTCTTGTAGAGAACCTGGGTTCAGTTCCCAGCACCTATAGGGTGGCTCGCAACCATCCATGACTCCAATTCCAGGAACCTAACTCCTCATCTGACCACTGTAGGTGCCAGACACATACAGTGTACATACATACACGTAGGCAAACATTCTTAAACATAAAACGAAAATAAACAAATCTAAAACAAGGACAAAAATCCTCTACAGTTCCATATAATAAATATCAAATAAAATATCAAGTCTAGGACCTGGGGAAGTAGCTCAGAGACATTATTGTATGTTTAAGATTTATGTGGTGTGCCTGTCGGTGGTGGTGCACCTTTAAATCCCAATACTCGGGAGGCAGAGGCAGGTAGATCTCTGAGCTAGTTCCCAGACAGCCAAGGCTCTCAAAGAAACCTTACCTTGAAAAACCAAAAGAAAAATTTGTGTGCGTGTATGCCAGTGTACACAGATGCCCGGTGTGTATGGGGTGCGCCTACGGAGGTCAGAAGAGGACCCTGGATCCCCTGGAGCTGGAGTTACAGGCAGATGTGAACAACCCAATGACAGTGAGCATGCACACATGATACTAGGAACTAAACCTGGGTGCCTAGAAGGCAAGTGTCGGAAACTGCTGAGCCATCTCTTCAGCTCACTGTGTATGTTTTTGAGATAAAAGCCTTGATGTATAACATAAGCTGGCCTCAAACTTGGAGTCCTCCTGCCTTTACCTCTAAATACCCTATTCCACATAGCTCTTTACGCCCCTCCTTCTCTCCAGTTTGCCTTCCAAATATAAGTACTTTGTCTACCACGTTATTTCTAGTGCCCGAAGCTCTGCCTGCCATACAGTAAATGTTAAAACCATGTCTATAGCTAGGTATACTGGCACACACTCTAATCCTGAGGCTCAGGAAGCAGCAGGAGAATCAGGAGTTCGAGGCCATCCTTAGCTACAAAAGACCCTATGTCAAAAACAAACAGCAAACAAAGGGACTAGAGAGACAGGTCAGCAGTGAAAGAGCCTATTGCTCTGTCAAACGACCTGGGTTCAGTTCCCAGAATGCAAGTGTGGCAGCCCCCAAATGCCTGTAACTTCAACTCAAAGGATCTGAAACCTCTGGTTCGTACACTCATGTGCACAAAAACAACACATACATTAAAAGTACATCTCTGTAATGGGTCCTCATCCTCTGACCTAATCAACCTGTTTCCTCTTCAATCTGGCCTTCACTCGGTCCACCAACACCACCACCTCACCTCCCACAGCCCTTGTGTAAATACCCTGAACTCCGGTCTTCCCGCGAACCTGCTTTAAAACACCCCCTGGCTGGATGTGTTCCAATGTCTGCCAATCCCCAAGCACAAATCTTGTCACTTCTGGTCTGTGACGCCAACGTGGCTCTCCAGCTAGGAACGGCTTCCAAGCCCTGACGCCAGCCTTCCTTAGACATAGACCAGAGAGGCATAGTGGCTCAGGAGCCAGATGCGGATGGATTTCCGTAGGTTCCAGCCCACCCTAGTCTACATAGCAAGTTCCAGGCCACTCGGGGCTACAGAATGGGACCACGGCAAGAAAAAATAAAATTTAAGAGAGGCCGAGAAAGAGCAGCTGAGAGTTTGAGAACAGCTTGAGCAAAGTACTAACATCCTGTCTGAAGGAATGAAGGCAGGCAGGCTGACCCAACAGCCAGACAACCCGATAAACCTGCCCGCCTCCACACAGCTCTGCATCGACCTGCTTTTCAAGGGGGCAAAATGGGGGAGCCGAGTTCAAAGATCTTCCTATTCCCCAACTCCATACCGCTCTCTTTATCAACCAGACTATACTTCCCAGAAGCCTGTTCGCTCGTACCTCCCTGCAAGTGACACGTAGGGCACCATCCAAGGCTCAGGGTGTTTCACTCTGAGGTCCCAATGCCCACCCTGGCTCCAGTCGTTCTGGCCATCGCACCCCCCTGCAGCCTTCTCAAAGCCCACTAGCTCCCCCAGCCCGTTGCAATGCGCCTTACAGAAGGGGGCCTCGGATCTTGGACGCTCTGGGCCACGCAAGGCATGCAGGGAGGTCACTGCAGGCCTCGGGGCTCTGCAACCCTCCCCGGTGGCAGCCCACCGCCCCGGCTCACCCCATGCAGATGGAAGCCCTCGCCGCCCGCCGGCTGCTCGCTGCTTGCCCCTAGCCCCATGGCTTCCCTCTCCCTCTGCTGCGTGGCCTGGTCACGTGAGGCCAGGCCACGCCCTCCCGGATGTCACAGTTCTTAGCAACCGGCCAGCAGCCAGGTTGCCAAGGACGCGCGCGCCTTGGACTTCCGGCAGTGAGCTGGGCTGCGAATTGGGCGGCCGGAGCTGGGAATCCCGCTCAGCCGGGCATCACCTGAGCCGGGCTGCAGCCATGAGCAGCGATGACTCCTCCCTCATGGTGCGTGAGCGCTGGGCAGCCTGCGTCCCGGGCTACTACTGCAGTCAGGACGGCTCTGCCCGGGGTTACCTCTCTGCTCTCTGGCCATTTCTGCTCTGGGGTTACCTCTCTGCTTTCTCTGGCCATCTCCCCTTGGGCCACCTCTGCCACACTATCCACCCTGCTCCCTGTCCTCGGGCTATCTCTACTCTGGCCACTTCCGCCACCCACCCCCCCAGCCACCTCTACCCCTCTGTCCACTACTCTGGCAGCCTCCAGAAGTCCTTCCATCTTCCCCAACTCCCTAACCAATGCATTCCTCCCAGTGTCGTCTACACCTCTAGCCTCAAATTAGCCCCCAGACCTGATCTTATCCCCCAAACAAGCCCATGTCTGTCAGTTTATCACATCTGCCTCCCACCTAAGCCTCTTCTTTGTCCCCACCGCAGTAGATGCTATGAGGTCTATGCCCACCTCCCAACCCTGCTCCTAAGCGAGAAGTGTCAGCTTCCGAATGTCTCCAAGGTTCACCTAAGCCAGAGCCACCATGTCTCCCCTAGACACCTCTGGCCCAGTTTCTCTACTTGGGCTCTTTGCATCAGCATTACCGCCTGACCCTACCCGAGCACCCATGCAACAGCCAGAGTCGTTTCTTTAGAATATATACATTTGAGGTAACTGGGGATCTGGCTCAGTTCCTAGAGTATGCACCAAGCCCTGATGGCCATAAAACAGGTGTGGTGGTAGATGCCTTTAATCCTAACACTGGAGAGGTGGAGGAGGAAGGTCAGAAATTCAAGGTAGTTGAATTTGAGGCCAGCCTGGGATACACGAGACTCTGTCAAAAGTTTTAACAATCTGAAAACTTCACTCCCCTACTTAAAACCATTCCAACTGCTTCCTGTTTGTCACCCTGCAATGATATGATGTCTACGCTCTTTCAAATGGCCCTGGGGCTTTTACGACCTAACCACATCTATCCCCAACTCAACACCCACAAACCTTAGAGGAAGTAAGCCTTGGCTTTGAAATCTCAGCCCCAATCACTGTGTGATCTCCGTGGGCTGTGTCTCCCCGGACCTCAGCTTCCTTAGCTGGGAAAGATACCAAGATGTGTATGGTGGCAGACGTGGAGCCCCTGAACACGGTCCCTAGCTTATCGCTATAACTATTGGTTTAATTATTCCAATGACTGCTCCTCGGTCCTCTTCCTTCCACGCTTAGGACGAGCCAGAGTTGATGTTTACCTCATGTATTAACCAGAATCTTCCAGCCATCCCCAATCACCTAAAACCTCTGCGGTAGCCACACTGCCTGGAACTACTTCCCAGGGCTGCTGAGGGAGAAGGCGAGGCCTGACTGTTGCCTTTCCCTTCCTGTTTGTAGAACTGAGAAGGAATGGGGCACCTCAACAGGAGCGGGTCTCACCCCATCAGGATCAGAACAAAGATGGAGGGACGGGGGCTTTGACAACCATGTTTTTTTTCCATGCAGGCTTCAATCATTTACTACAGCCAGGAAAAGTACTTCCACCATGTGCTGCAGGCTGCGAATGTGGGCCTAGAGAGGTACAGCAGCGACCCTGTGCTGCAGTTCTTCAGAGCTTATGCAGTCCTCGGGGAAGGTAAGGCATTATTCCAAGCCCAGGTACCATCCTAGCTTGTATCCTCTGGCAGCATCTGGATGACTGCTTCTAGCTATGTTCCCATGGAAACCCCTCACTGATAAACAGAGACCTGTAGAGTCTATATCAGGTTAGCTTTGGAGATATTGGTTCACTGCCCCTGCTGTGAGCCTCAGTATCCCTATCTATAAAATGGGTTGTTAGAGGGAGGGCTATTGGACTCTTCTCGGACTTGGAAGCTGAGAGTTGGATCTGAGGGAAAAGAGAAGAGGGAGGTATGAGCACAGGAGGGTATGGTATAGATAACAGGGGGTGGGGCTTAAACAGAGCCCGTGTGCTGAGAACTGTCCAAGCAGCCTGTAGCCAGTGTTAGGGACATGTGGGATAGATGTAATTGGTGGGCCTTGAGTGACTAGCTGGGAATGCCCTGTCCCTCCTAAGGACTGACTCCAGCCCCTCTAAGGTGCTCAGGCTCATTCTCGGGCACATCTCTAGATTCCAAGGTTTTTAACCAGTCGGCCAAATGTAGCGGGAAGATCTGGAAGTTCAATGTCATCTTAGACTGCACATCAAGTTTCAAGCCACCTCAGATACATGAGAACCTTTCTCAAAAACCAAATAGAAAGTGGGGGCTGCAGAGATGGATCCCAGTTCCCAGAATCCACGAGGCAGCTCACAACCGTCTATAACTCTGGTTCCTATGGATTTTGCGCCCTCTTCTGGCCTCCTACATACACACAAAAATTATTTATGAAACAAGGTAGATAGATGGTGCCTAAAGAAAACCAGTTAAGTTTGTCCTCTGACCACCACACACTGGTACAAACAGAGACCTCCCCTTGCTGGCCGGGACCACAGTGGCAACGGCCTTCAGAGACCTTCACCCTCCAGGAAACGCAGGCTCTCCTGGGCACTCTCACATCAGCCTGTTTCTGGATTTAGTGTGTGAAAGCAGGCAGTGACCAACAGGAATCCTGTGTCATGTGTCTGGAGCCCCAGGGCGAAACTATGTACACTCTTCCTACAGACCACATCCATGATGCCATCAGCGAGCTGGAGAGCATCCAAAGCCACCCAGACACGTCCCTGTGCGCGGTCATTGCTCTGCTTTACGCTCACAAATGCTGTGACACCATTGGTGAGTGTAGCTATGTTTGGCAAACTGGACCCCAAGGGGAGAAAAAGCCAGCAGCAGAGACACAGGCTTGCAAGAGTCGTTGAAGAAGGCACCATGCACAGGGCAACTTAGAGCTGCTGTAAGCCAGCCAAGACAGGCTATCCCTCACCCTCACCCCACAGACCTCAGAGAAGCCCTAATGTTGGAAACCAACTTGGGGTGGGGCAGGAAGCAGGCAGAAAGTATGACAAAAGGGGTCATCCCCCCAGACCAAGAGTCTTGAAAACATCTTCATTCCACGCCAAGATATTTTTAAAAATAAATAAACCCAGCCATTCTAAATAATTGTGTCCCCAATCTGAGGTCTCTAGGGAGTCAGAGAGAGGTGCTAGTGGAGACTGCCATCTCTCACACGGGATTGACTGTGGGCCTCTGTCAGGAATTCAGGGTTAGTCCATCTGCTTGACGCCCTGGTGGATATGGGGTGGGGCCTCCCAGAGAGTAAACTGCGCCCAGGTGTACACAGCTCCCATGGAAGTGGGCAGAGGCACAGATGCAGAGAGGGTACAGTGCATCAGAAGAGAACATTGGGTCCTCACTCAGCCTCCTCTTCTTCCTCCTCCTCCTCCTCTTCCTCCTCCTCCTCCTCCTCCTCCTCCTCCTCCTCCTCCTCCTCTCTTTGATGTAGACGAAGAAGCAGTTCAGGGGCTGGAGTGTAGCTTGAAGGAAATGCGCAGGATGGCCAGCGACACTGCCCTGTACTACGCCAGCCTCTTCCTCTGGTTCATGGGCCACCACGACAAGGCCAGGGAGTATGTTGACCACATGTTGAAGGTCTCCGGTGGCTCCAAAGAGGTACAGGAACATGTCAGCCACAGCCAAGCAAAGCAGCATTAATAGTGGGCTCACTCCCAGAGAGCCCAGGAACCAGGGCTGCACCCAGGCATCAGACCCTGGGTGTCAGTCACCTCATTCCTTGTCTAGAACCACATTGCTATTCACGCATCATAGTGTCCTGTCTCTAGACTGCTTTTCTATGCCCCACCTCTTTCTTTCTTTTCTTCCTTCCCCCTTTCTTTCTTTTCTTTTCTCTTCTCTTCTTTTCTCTTCTTTTCTCTTTTTTTGGACAGGGTCTATTTCATTAAACTTTTCCTGAGAGATAAAAACAAGCACACACTCACCCCAAAGAGGGCATCAAGGACAGACCAAAGTATAAATTCTTCTGAAATTCAATTTGGTAGAGCAATAAGTCTGTTGGACTTGACCCCAAAGCAGCCACACAGACTGAAACGAACTTGCCTCAACCCGAATGACCATGTCCCCATAACTGCATAGACACAGTCTCTCTGGAATGGAGCCCTGCCCCCACCCCACCTCACCCCGTATGTACCTTAGCACCTCCCATGACCACGAGACCAAGTGCAATTAAGGCAAAATTATAGCCATGAGGTGGTGACACACACCTTTGATCCCTGGAGGCAAAGTCAGGCAGATCTCTGAGTTCAAGGCCAGCCTATATAGAGAGAACAAGTTCCAGGCCAGCAAGGGCTACACAGAGAAACCCTGTCTGGAGGGGTGGGGTTGGGGGTTGGGGGAGTTGGATCAAAGACATACACCTGGCCGTGAGCCGCAGTGAGTCAGAGACAGGTCTAAATGACCCTCCCAGCAGATCCTCCAGCAACAAGACCAGTTAGCGATGGGTCACAGATGCTTCTGATGATGGGGGTAACAGCCTGGGTTCTGCAACAAGATGTCATGACAAGGTCTCAGATAGTTCACACTGTAGCAGAGGTGGCCTTGAACTTCTGATTCTCCTGCCTGCAACTCCGGAGTACTGAGATTCTAAGCATATCCCATGCCTGATCTTCTTCCACACCAGGCTGGAACCCAGGGCTTCCCCATATGCTTCCCATACATACCCATTTCAGTACAACATTTTTTTTCAATTTTCATTTTGAACTTATTTTTGATGTGTATGGATGTTTCATCCGCAAGTATGTCCACGCCACACGCGTGACAGATGGTTATGAGCTTCCGTGTGGGTACTGGAAACAGAACCAAGGTCCTCTAGAGGAGCAGGCCAAGGCTCTTAACCCCCGAGCCAGCTTTCGAGGACCTTCTTTCACAGCACTCTTTAAACATCTTGAATTAGTTGCTGACGTGTAGAAAACCAGACGATTTGGCTGGCAGGATGGCTCAGGCATTTGCTGAGCCAAGGCATTTGCTGCCAAGCCCGATGACCTAAGTTTGATCTCCGGGACCCATATGGTGGTGTGCACTCCCGAGGCCCAGCCTTCCCTGTAACTGGAAGAGGATGTGCAGAGGCCAAGAGCAGCCCCGCCCAAGCCCCAGTATTGTTAACCTGACTGCCCTGACCAGTCCACGGGGAGAAGGGGAAAAGGGTCTCAGTAAGGAATGATGGAGGGTTGTGGAGAGTGGTGAAAAGCAGCCCCCCCAGGGTGGGGGTTGGGGGCTCCCGAGCTAAGCTATAACCAAGTCCTTTACCAGATGTATGAGGCCCAATCTGGAAGGTAAGAGGTGCCAGGTGTCACAGGCAGTGCAGGCAGGGGACACCATCTGGCAGAGGAGCCTCCCACTGGCATCTGCACAAGATGATGCCTACCGGGTGATGTGGAGATTGTGAAGGGCAGCTGGGGTAGAGGCTGGGCAGGATGCAGAACTTAACCTCTTTCCTCGTTCTTGTCCCAGGGCTATGTGCTCAAAGGCTGGGTGGACCTCACCTCCAGTAAACCCCACGTTGTGAAGAAATCCATCAAGTACCTGGAACAAGGAACTCAAGACACCAAAGATGTGCTGGGGCTCATGGGCAAGGTGGGTGGTGGGGGGAGGGGTGGGGAGCGGGTGTCCCCGGCCTGGTCTCCAGAGGTAGAGGTCTGCCAGGTGAACTCAGACCAGATCTCAGATCCAGGCCCAGAAAGGACCAGCAAGCAGCCCAGGGTCACAGCAGTACAGAGCCTCTCCTTCCGTCTTTGTGTACATCCTTCTGGGTGTGCATTGTATTGTCTGGAGTGCCAGGGAGTTGAGCCCAAGGCTTTGCACATACTGGGCAAGCACTCTGCCACTGGGCTACACCCCCTGGCTCCTGTCTGGAGATGGGTCCTCACATATCCAAGTACTCACTGTGTAGCTAAGGCTAGCCTTGAGCTCCAAGTACTCCTGCCTCAATCTCCTAAATGTTGGGGGACACAAATGTTGGTCAGACAAGAGTGGGAGGGACCGGACAGACCCTTTTGGTCCTACCAGGGGCTGTGACCTCTGACCCTCCAACCTCTTGGTGACCTCTGACCCTCCTCCCCCTTGGCCTGACGCTCTGTCCCTTTTCTGCACCTCTGACTTTTACTTCCCCCACTCCCCCCAGTCTCTCTCCCCACTTGTTAAAGTTACCCAATGGCCACAAGAAAAGGAAGGCATATATTTTGCATGGTTTGAATTTTCTGATCTTAATTTGATCCTAATTTGAAAGAAAATCTTCTTTTTTTTCTTTTATGACCCTCATTGACTCAATCTTTGAGAGAAGAAAACTGTTCTCTTACTATCTTCTTCTTTTCTTTCTTTCTTTTCTTTTTTTTTTTTGGTTTTTGTTTTGTTTTGTTTTTCGAGACAGGGTTTCTCTGTATAGCCCTGGCTGTCCTGGAACTCACTCTGTAGACCAGGCTGGCCTGGAACTCAGAAATCCACCTGCCTCTGCCTCCCAAGTGCTGGGATTAAAGGCGTACAACCACCACTGCCCAGCTCTTACTATCTTCTGTGTGTCTGTCTGTCCTTACAAAATCCTTAAGTCACAGGAGAGGGAAAGGAGAGGGGCGGGGACACCATGTGCAAGAACTCTACAAAGTGAACCACATTCCAGGCCCTTAAGCCTTTTTGGAAGTCCTGCTCTGGCCCTCAGGACTCCTGGTAGGACACCCCAGGGGAATAGTAACTAACACCAGGCTGCAGAGGCCAAGATCCCCAGTCACAAACAATAAACAGCTTCCCAGCCTAGCTGCCAGGTAAGCCCCCACAGTTAAACTCTGGGCCTTTGGGCTTTGGGCCCAGCCAAAAGAGTCTGCACTGCCCGTTGTGACCCCCAGCTTCTAACAAGTGAACAGGACCCAGTATCACATGGAAGGTCTTCTCTCGGGCTCCCCCAGGCAACGTACTTCATGACACAACAGAACTTCTCCGGGGCCCTGGAGGTGGTGAACCAGGTCACCTTGGCCTTCAGCAGTTTCCTGCCAGCCTTAGTCCTGAAGATGAAGCTGTTCCTGGCTCGGCAGGATTGGGATCAGACGATAGAAACCGGACAGAGGTGAGGGAAGAGCCGTCTGCCAAGCATCCTCCCTTTTAGATAGTTCGGGGTACTGGAGATAGAACACAGGGCTTGTTGTATAAGCTCTAAGCTATAGCCTCAGCCCTTTACATTTTATTTTGAGTCGGGTTCTCATTAAGTTGCCCAGGCTGGCCTTGAGCTCATTCTGTAGCCCAGGCTAACAGTGCCCTCCTTCTTCAGCCTCCCAAGTGACCATGATTTAGACCTAAGCCACCATGACTGGCCTGTTTTTCAGGGTGGTTTGGTTGGGATTGGTATGGGTTTGAGAAAGGGTCTCACTGTGGTCTAGGTTGTCCTGGAACTCACTGTGTAGCACAGGCTGGCCACAAACCTATGGTAATCCTCCTGCCTCAGCCTACCAAGTGCTGGAATTACACGGGTGAGCCTCCACACCTGGCTCGTTTCACACCTGGCTTGCTTTCTTTTGTTTTGTCTTTCTTTCTTTCTTTCTTTCTTTCTTTCTTTCTTTCTTTCTTTCTTTCTTTCTT